CTCTCTCTCTCTCTCTCTCTCTCTCGTGTACAAAGGCCTTTGAAATCAATAAAATCATCCTGAAATTTTGAATTCTCTCTCTTTCTCCCCCTCCTCTCCAGGGACTAAATATCGCGTGCTGTTCCTGATAGCCATTACACTATGCAGCTTGACACTTTTCCACTGGACAATGAGACCTCTCCCGCTCTCCCCACTTGACCAGAGACTGGTGGGAGAGCGTGACGTCATCCGCTCTTTCCAGACGATAGAGCTGGACACAATGGACTTGGTGGCTCACAAAAACGGCTGGGTGGGATTCCAGGATCTTAAAGTGAGCACCGGATAGTTTATTTCGCTATCTCAGAATTACAAAGCTCTATCTGACCGTTTTTCAAAGTTTTGAGTCACTAAGATCATGAGGTCAGAAACCAAATTACGTTCTTCCTGCTCTATCAAAATCGCAAGATTATTCGGAGTCTTAATCAGCATTCGAAAAAAATGTGTGTGTTTGTTTATTTGTGTGTGTGTGTGTGTGTGTGTGTGTGTGTGTGTGTGTGTGTGTGTGTATCTGTGTGTGTATCTGTGTGTGTTTTGCATTGTGAGAAAAGAAAGACCATAAAGCAGAAAAATCGGTTGTTTTTTTCACCGAAGAACCGTGAAATAACAGATGAAGACTGTTTTTTTAAAGCAGGATTTTTGTTGTTTTTTTGTTTTTGTTCCCCCCCCCCTCTCCATCCCTTCCCTCACCTCCCAAGACATTTTTTAGGTGAGTGACGGGAGGATGCCACTTATGGCTCCTACTTCTTTACTAATTTTCTAGGACTACAACAGCGCCTGAGAACGATAGAAGAGTGGTGCGAGGAGAATGAGGCTGTTACAAATTCAGCAAAAGCACAACCGATGTGGTGCTCACTCAAAAACAGAACAGTAACAGTGAAGGACCCAACACCACTAGTGACAATGAACTATGAGGTCATTGAAAGAGGAACAGAACTGAAATACGTTGGTATCACATTTTGACCGCTCATTGTCATTTGTAAAGCACCTGAAGAACATAATCTCTAGGGCGAGAAAGGGGATTGGTGCAGTCAAAATGATGGCGAATGCATTGATGCCACAGAGAATCCTGTTCATAATGATGCATCTTGTCGTACTGTCTGTGATTGATTATGGACTGGGCTTGCTCACTCTATCAAAAACCCAAATAGAAAAAGTGGAGATGGTTCAAAATGAGGCAATGCGTATTGTCCTTGGTTGCACCAGAGACATTCCAATTGCTTGTCTAAGACACATACTTGGACTCCCCCAGTAAGACACAAATTGGCTTTGGCTAAGAGTACCTGAAAATTATGGAAATGGAAGGCCACCCACTTCACCGAGTGATCAAGCAGGACAGATGGACTCGAATAAAGAGAGGTCAATCTTGGATGGCACAAGCAGAAGAGTCTATGAAGAAGGTGTGTGACTTACATGATATAAATGATGGCAGTGGGAGGATTTACTTTGCAGAAGAGGCTGCGCACGATTTGACAAGAGTTATCATAGGTGTAAAGAAAGGAGATGTGCTGGAGGTGGCAGGAACAGTAGAGTTGGAAATAAGACAGATTGTCAAGGAAAACTCCAGACCCCTGGATCCAGTAACATACACTGATGGTTCTGTGAAACGTGGGGTGAAAAGTGGTTGGGGGTTTGTCGTACATAAAGATGGCTGCATAATTAAAACATCATCTGGTGCATGCAAAAAGACGACTTCAATTCAAGCACAAGAATGGAGGTAGAGGCAGTGACAAAAGCATTTGAAAGGCTGAAAGAGAGCGTGCGTTCTGACAGACATGCTGTCATTGTCACTGACTTTCAAAACATATTGCAGAGAGTCAATAAGTGGATGCTGAGAAAAGAGTAGCTGCAAAGCATAGAAGAAAGCAGACTAAGATAACATGGATCTATGCTCCAAGCCATACAGGTGTGGTGGGAAATGAAAAAGCAGACAAAGTGGTGAGCAATGCACCAGTCAATACTGGTCTTAAAATGGAAAAAAATGATGTCGTGAAGACCCTTGCCACCACACTTGAAGTTGGGGAGATTGAGCATGACTATGCACCAATCTTACGACTTGAAGAACTGGGTGTCTTCATAGGAAGTGGCAGAACCAGCATAGTACAGGGGATGGAAAGACGAGCTAGTAACCAAATGAACACCAGAACAATCAGCAGGTGGACTCTGGGGGTAAATATTGAAGCGGGGAGCGGAGCACGTATGGCAATGCCCGTAGTGCTAGGATGTTGTTCTCAGGATCAAGTAATCAAGTAGTGCTAATAGTGTGAGGGGGGTGTTCTAGATGTGACCTTATGGTGTCGCAAGGGCCGTAAAACTTAACTTATTAAAGAGTAAAATAAAATACAAAAACATCGCTCAGCCAGTTAAAAACGCAATAATAATTATTGTTGATTACCCCCCCCTTCTCTCTCCCTCTCTCTCTCTCTCTCTCTCTCTCTCTCTCTCTCTCTCTCTCTCTCTCTTTCTCTCCATCACACAATCATTCTCACTCCCCAGGCAGTAGACTGTACGTCTACCCTCACGGCCACGAGTGTAGACAACTCCCAGTACCCACAGTCTGTGCCCAGGGTCACCGACGCGCAAATAGAGCAGGATGCGGCTGCCGATTGTCCAAACTTTAACAGGAAGTACGGCTTCCAGCGCTACCCGGAAGTGACGGAGGAGGAGAGTGACTTCCCCTTGGCCTTCATCATTCTCTTTTACAAAGATCTGGATCAGGTAGTTAATCGAGAGCAATACACTTGTCGCATTTATAGTTTTGGGGTTCTTTTTTCTTTTGTTTATTTGGTTGATTGGTGGTGGGTTTTCTATTATATTTGATTTTTTTTTCACTCTAATTTCATTTCATTTCATGTCTTAAGTTAAAATTTCCTTCACTGTTTATGTGTATGTATGTATGTATGTATGTATGTATGTATGTATGTATGTATGTATGTGTGTGTGTGTGTGTGTGTGTGTGTGTGTGTGTGTGTGTGTGTGTGTGT